ATAGATTTAAAATAAAAAAAAATTTATTAAATTTGATAAGATTATTATTGAGATATTTTAATTTAAAAATAAAAAAAATTTCATTAAAAATGATTTGTCTCTTTTCTATTGACTTCACTCCATATGCTGGATATTATTATAGATGATTCGAAATATTGCGAGGTACGGTTAAAATAACACACCTTCGTGTTAATGCAAAAATAAATGTAGATATTTTGTGCCTGTATCAATTCTTGTGCCTGACATTTAAGTGTCTCATAGGCACTCTCCTGACCTTTAAATGTCTGGCTCTTTTGTAAATATTGCACTTTGTTTGCTTGGCTTCTTTGTGCTTAAAAGTATCTAACGTTTCATCTGAGCATGAGCAGCACAAAGTGCCTTTAGACATAAAGTGTCTGCTTAAAAGTGTCCAAAATTTTATACCTACTAGCAACTTTGTATCTTGCTTAAAAGTGCTAGCACTTTGCAGACACAAACCTTTTGTGCCTAGCCTAAAAAGTGTTTGACACTTTTGTACTCACAGGTTCAGTGTCGGACATAGTGCCAATACAGTATGCTCTACTAATTTAATTATTAATATTTAAATTTAAATAAGTTTTAACTACAGTACTTTTGTAAATTTAAATTATAAAATAACAAAAAATATTGTATTAAACAATAAAAAAAATAAAACTATTAAAAGTAATAAAAGAATAATGAAAAGGTACTAAAAGAATAATAAAAGAATAGTAAAGAAGTATTTAATTAATTTTATAGTATAATAAAAAATTACTAAAAAACTAATAAAAGTAACACTAAATTATGATAAAAAAACACTAAAAAGAAGCATCAAATAAATGATGAAAGAAACACAATGATGAAAACATAGTACACAAATCACGTGAAAGAAAGTTTTTTATGAGAGCTACTAGAAATTCTGGCCCGTGCGTGTCACGCTTTTTTGGTCTTACAATACGAAAGTTATAGTTATCATGACAAGAAAGAATACTATTATCCCGTAAATCAAAATAATTTTTAATATATAATACATATAGATACGTAAATAAATTAAGACAAATTGATCATGTTCATTTGAATTTTTCAGTGAGAAATTCTCTGAAAAAAATTTAACAATTGAATAATTAAGCACATTTTTATACAAAATAAAAAACATTTTATTTAAGTTAGAAAGAAACATCCTTTTATTTTGAGAATTAATTTTCCTAAACATCGACCAAAACCAAATTTTCAAATAGTTTACTAGTCTTTTGGGACTTAATATTACAATAGATGCATAAAAGCCGTAATCATTGGCAATTCAAATAAAGTTTTGATTTACTAGAAAGTTAGTATACTACCATAAAGACTGAATGATTGAGAAAGTTCGTAGCGTAGCAATTCTTCAGCGTTAGATTGAACTTCGTCCTGATCAATAGATTTTCTAAATCTTACTTGATCAATAAATTTCAGCTATTTCACTAAATCTTACTCTCTCACCTTTTGATTAATTACTATAATTTCTTTTTTTTTTTTTGAGCTCTTTTACTTTCGTCTTTATTGGTCATTGGGTAAAGTGAATTCTGTGTACACGTGTAAAACGAATTAGTTTTAAAAATTCAAATTTGTTAGTACGATGAAAGAGATGGATTGCTTTATTAAATGCAGAACATTGGTAATAAATATAATTCTTTTGATACATTTGTAATTTTTATAATTGGTCATACCGGTATTATATAAAAAATGACCTTACAATAACGAAACGACGTATAGTGATAAATTAGGATAATTTATAAATCACGTGCATGAATTATAAAAAAAAAAATCTATATATTTATCTGTTGTTGTACTCAAAGAGGCTTAATATCAATTAATTAAAGTATGATATCGAAATTTGAATGCTATTGCTATTTTATTTTTATTTTATAATATGTGTTTGATTATAATAAATAATAAACAAATATAATAAATTTAATTCTAATGCTATCACTCGCTATGAATAAAAATTTATGAAACTATCAAAATAGAACATAACAATAATCAACTTTGATTGCATAGAAGTTTCTAAATTTATATTTAGGACAAATTCAATTATAATTTTTTAAGATAAATTTTCCGTGCATATACATACGTAGTATATTATCAGTTATTGTGTGATGCATAATGAGTAAATTCGACAAGCACCTGCAGTTCATATTTTAATCTAGGAGTAAATAAAAGTGATAGATCTGAAATAATATCATAATAATTGAAGTGAATAAATCATCAAACCATCACTAAGTTTCAAGTTTTTCAACCTTTTTATATAAATAGCAATTTCGTTCATATCCTTCTAAAATATTTTATATTTTTTTCTCAAATTGAGTGTCACTAAAATAATGGATTCTTTTAAAGAAAAAGCTCTCGTTCTTAACGATATTCGCTCTAAATTTACCCAATTTCAAAATAATTCTGACTTAATTTCTATGGATTTTCATACATCTTTTCGTCAACAACTATTTGCTGATTATGGCTACGATCCATCAATCTATATCGATGAAGCTTCTTTTTTTAAACTTTTTGAAAGTCAATTCGATAATGAAATGCCTACTGAAATTATACACCAAGATGAAATTTCAAAAATACAAGCTTGCTTTGGTGAGATTGTAAAAACAAAATATTTGGACGCGGTAAATTCTGCTCATAAATTTTGTCGTCAAAAGTGCCGTGATCAAAAAAAAGCTGCATTGCGTGATATTTTTATGCTTCCATCCGGGAACAAAGATCACGTGATAGAAATATTAAAACGAATAGATTCATCCTTCGTGGATATGTTATCACGCATGATTAAACAGTTTCAAGTCACGATTGGATTAGATAACACAGACTTCATTTCCGTGAAAAATTTAATTTCAACAAATATTCGTTTCAATGATGAAATCAAACAAATTCTCGAAAATTATTTCTGCGAAGTATCTGACCGCCCAAAACATTGTGAAAAATTAGAGTTAAGTAAAACAACAGGATTAACAATAAAACAAATCGAGACTTGGTTCAATAATAGGAGGAACCGCGCTGAAAAAGATAATGAAAAACTTGAGAGATTAACAACTGAGTTTTTGGATAAAAAGGTGGATTGGGAAGATAAATTTACCGCTGCCAGATCAGGAAAGATTACCGCAAAGGACATGAAAACCATCATTATTCAAGCGTTCGAACTTCCTTGCATTGATTCGATAGAAGAAGACGATGAAGAATTACTGGAAATTGAAACTACTAGGTCAAACGAATTATTTTTAGAAAAATCAGATTCATCCTCCTTTAAAAAGTCTGTAAAAACCCGTGAACGTCTTACAAAAAAAAACCGCAAAAATATTACACCTTACACCAAATCATCACCAATGTCAAAAAAAATGGCAATAATGCGAGTTAAAGATAATATCTCAGCATCCGTGGTCGATATTCCTTGCATTGACTTGATAGAAGACGAAGAAGAATTACCGGTTATTGAAGAAACTATCACTATGTCAAACGAATCATTTTTAGAAAAATCAAATTCTTCATCCTTTAAAAGGTCTGTAAAAACCCGTGAGCGTCTTACAAAAGAAACCCGTAAGAAGGCTTCACCTTACACCAAATCGTCACCCATGACAACAAAAATAGCAATGACGCGAATAAACCATGTTCAAGATGACATCTCACCACCTGTGGAGGAAATCCAACACCAAGACTTAAATTTTAAGTAAATATTTTTCTTATCTTAATTCTATATAATTGTAAAATTCAATTGACTTAGTAGCAGTGCTAAAACGACATGTAGTAAATGGCGGCTTGCTGCGCCATGCTACTTCAAACAATTATGTACTATTGAATCATGAATGATACCTTTAGAATGGCCGGCATTTACTATACGCTTAGTAGTTATTGAGATGAAAATTTATAAAACTAGTTACTAAAAATATTTTCTTTTTCTATTGACTTTCGCTTCCAAATAGCTTCTCAAGTTCTTTTGAAGGAGATATCTTCAATTACGTTTCCACTTACGCTCCAACAACAAGTTTTAGTAATCTATCCGATATATCAGAGTTTAGCCAATTAAGCGATGTAGTCGATTTCGATCAATTAAATGATATCTCAGCTGTAAATAGCTATTCAACATTACCTTTTGCTTTAGAACAATGTGATTCGTTGGCACGATCATCAAATGATCCCTTCAACGCGGTCACTGTACCACATAATTTATCCGAAGACTATTTGAATTACACGTCGAACTCAAGTATTTTTGTTACATCGGACACTACTTCGGAGCAGGAATCCGCAGTTGACATGACAAATACATATGATTTGTTTAATCCTTTACCCGATGATATTAATGCTATTCAATTGGGCTTCATTACGCAATCATCCTCCCTTGGCAACAGTAATTTTACTATCGATTCTCTCGGTGAACATATTGACCATGGCACTTGAAAATCATAAAAATGCATTGATTTTTCTCTCATTCCAATGAGAAATTTCCAGTGTCATCTTCCTTCCGTAAACTTAAGATTATTATTATTATATTAGAGTATTCGATCACGTTTTACTCGAACAATGTCAAACACAATTATATATATTTAAAAGTTATCCCTTATCGAAAATAGCTTTCTTTTATGATTATACGTATGTAAATATGCTTAAGGCTTTCTTGTAAATTTTCTTTTTGTAAATTTGTTAAGAATTAAATTACTTTGTGAATTTCGATTTATAGTTTTTTTTTTTTTTTTTATCTAGCGTTTCTTTCTCTAATAACCTTCTCTTTTATTTATAGTGTTTTTTTTTTTTGTCTATTACTCTTCTCATGTTATATTTATAGTATATTTTTATAGTATAAATATTTTTTTTATCCGACATTCTTTGCTTTGATTCCTTATGATATAAAAAATATATAGTATATATTTTAATATCAAAGTTAACATTATATCTGCAATGTAGCCCTAATTCAGGGGGCTTGTTAAATAATTAAATTTTATTTCAACAATAATCGTACGTAGCATGCTAAATAAAATAACATATATATATATATATATATATTAGGTGGATATGAAACATCTGTAGCCATTTGTTAAAATTAAAATTTTTGTTTCAGTATGTAAATATTTATATATTAATAAATTGAAATTTTAATAAAATTATAAGATTTTTTATCGATTTTAATACCGTCAAAATTTCATATTTTCATTGAAGGTGCGTCGCTCGTGACCCAGGTTTATATATGAAGAGCTACGTATTCATGTCGTAGAAATTATTTCGGTTAACGATGTCAACTTATTTAAAATAATTCTTGTTTTATAAATCACTATCATTACTATCGCTATGTACAATTTTATCGTTCATTTCAAACATTCGATTTATTAAATCCTCTGTATTATAATCCATATTTCTAAGATAATTGTAGATTACTGTTTGTTGTATTAACTTGCAATTTTAACCAGAGTAATATGACGAATTAGTAATATCAATTAATTCGTTAACTTAATCATTTAATGGTAAAACTCGAATACTTTGGATAACAATAACAAAGATACGCTACGAGAACCAATCTTACTACTGGTACCAGGAACGGAGTACAAAGTACGTAGTGTATGGTTTACAGGCAAGTTAACGTTAATGTGTCTGTACAATTCTCAGCATTTGATTGGTCCGCGTGACTCTGTTCGTTATGCGTTGTCTATTTTTCACACGCCATTTTTCACACCTTATATATGTGCGATAACTTGACTACGTATTGCTTTATTGATTAGAATTACTATATATGAAAGGTCGTTTACATCTTTTAATCTTGATTACGTCTCTGTTCTATGTTAATAGTTAAGGTGCATGCTGATCATTTGAGAATATTAATTATTTTGTTCTAACCGAATATATATGTATATCTCGTGCTGAATTTCTAGTGG